TTAATTTAAACCCTGTCTGTAGTCGAGGAAATATTCTTGCCGCGTAACAAAACTTCATACTCTGAAACAGGTAATCCATCCATTAGCACAAGGAAATCATAATAATCACAAGAACGCCTGCATGAAATTTTTGAGGACTTAGTTAATGTACAAGATTTTGCAAAAATGTTAATGTTAGAACTAGGGTTAGGATCATTCATTAAACCTGTTGCCCTTTCATGGGTTTAAGGATTCATCTATAAAAGACTTCAACTGCTGCCGGAATGAAGGAATCTTATCTGCCTCTATGGCCATGACTAATCCCATTAACCGGTAATTTCGCAGCTGCAATATTATCGAAAACCAGAAAAACAATACTCTGTCATGAAAGTCTATCTTCTATTGAACAAAAAAGGATTAACACAGCATTAACCAGAAGACATGGCAGTATAACTGAAAGAAGCTTCCGGAGCAATAAAGGACAAAAGACTATAAAAGGAGGAATTGACAAAATCCATACTGTTAAGGAAGCACTAATTCAAACATCCAAAAAGGTACTATTTCAACAAGATATAATTGTGAGAACTCAAGTAAAAAATTCAGCAGGATTTTTTCCTTTAGCTATCATGAACCCCAAAAAAGTTTCATAATGGATGTCAATAATGGTTGTCAAACAGCAATTATGCCCATGTGCAGCATTTCTTCCTTTTTCTTTTTACTTCACAAAAAATAGGAACTTCATTGGAATCAGACTCATGGACAGTTACTCTGTTTCATCATTAAACATAGAAAATAAAAAGGACGAAAAATAAAGATTACCTAATGCAACTTAGTAATCAGGTAAAATGGGCTTAGTAACACAGAATCCAATTGACAGGATCTCAAGTCTAAGAGGGTGTTTAGATAGGCTCTTTGTTCTTGGTAAAAAAATCTTAAGGTGTTTGGACACAGAGACAAAAAAACAAAAGCTGTCAAGACCAGCTCTTTATTTTTAGGGTTTTAAATGAAAAACTAAAAGCTCCTTAGACCCAAATTTTTTAAATAAATACCCATAAGAAATGCAAGATATTAGATTTACCTTTACAGTTAAGAGTTCCTAATTCTCTTCTTCAATCATTTTATCAAAATTTTAGTACAAAACTCTAGTTTTATCAAACATCTAACATCTTATTAGTGTAACAGAATGTTTAGATTGAAAGAAGTGAAAGGAAAATAAAGGAATCATGTTCACCATCCTTTGACTTACTTTGATTGGGAAAAAAAAGGCAAATTACAGTTCAATATCTCGTGGTTCGAAGTTTTTAAAAGATTAACTAAGCTGTTCATGTAAACAAGGTATTTTAGCAAAAGATCTTGAAAGCCTTATTGATACTTCGATTGACCTCTAAATATTTTACAGACAGGTTGCACTTCCTTAGTGGTCTTGAATATTCTAATCTTACCTCTCAAAGAAAAAAAGAACTTTGCTGTTCATGTGTGAAAAATTTTTTAAATCCACATCATCCACCTGTCCATTATAACGGTGTTATATTGATGATAAAACCAAATGTACTGAAATTGTTGAAAAAAGACACACTGAATCTGGAAAACCACAAAATTATAAACTGTAGTTTGCCCCTAAAAATAATAATTAATAGAGGAAACAAAGTAACGTTGAGCATCCAAGCAACCTTCCCTTTCCCTTAAAAACTCTCATTTTTTTAATTCTTCCAAATTGAGAGAAAATAATTGAAAAGTAAAGGATTTAAAAATTTGAAAAGAAAAAGCTTCTTTTTGTTCTTAATTAGTTGACTTTTCATAATAAGTAGCATTATCAATTATTTCCTTATAACTAACTAATCATTTTACTTCTTTATTACGCTAAATCAAAAAAATACTACAACATTCATTCACTTTCTATACTTTTTCAATTTTTTCTATCCAAGCAAAAAAATCAATTTCACTTCTCTTTCATTTAAAAATCACTCTCTTCTTTTCTTTCCTATCCTATCCTCTCCTCTCCCTTTACCAATTTCTACCCATAGTGTAAAAGCTGGAAAAAAAATCATCTATCTGAATATTTTCTCAACTTAAAGCACTACAAGTTTAAAGCTCTTTCGAGATAGTAGCTCCATGTACTAATAAAGCAAAAAAAAAGCCCATCCAAACCACCCACTAAATATATGAGCAAGAATCCTGACTGTAAGACTTTTAGCCGTAAGTTGCATCAATTGCAACAAAAGTTAAAAAGATCCTAATGAAAGTTTTCGATTTCTCAAGATGCTCTACGCAAAAGAGAGAGGAGAGATCCACATGTGTTGATTAAGTGTTGCAGCCTCAAATGTTAATGTTCCTCACTAAAATATATTTATGAAGGGAAAAGAGGAAGAAGAGAAATGACTAGATAGACTAGTGGAGCTGAGTTAGAATTAATCTGAACATTGTATTCCGAGAAAAGGAAGATACTTGCCTCATGAGTTGTAACCTGGTGAATATGCAAGGGAAAAATGAAGGACCAGAGACTAAGCTGAATGTATTAGGAAAAAGAGAGCCATCAGAAAAGAGGGAGAATAAGAAAGTGAGAAGATATTGAATACCTGAATTACAGCTGATGGACAACAAATACCTGGTGAAAAATTTCATCTTCTTGTTTAATATATATTATTTCCTCATCAGTTGACCCACTTGACCTTTTTTTCGAGTTTTCATTCTTAAGCTGCATTTTTGCATGGTATTAGGGATAGAGGAAGTGGGAAATTAATGAAGTAAACTGTAGGTCATATAGAAACCATGTAATGGAAGCACAATAATAGTATAATAATGGTACAATAATATACCTTGTAAATTTTACTGACTAGAATATAATATTTGAAGCAGAAGGAATTTCGGAGCTCTTCTGTTGGCTTCATGAGGTGAAAAAATAGAAATTTAGTTAATTCTATATAAAAACTAGATATTTTTCTCAAGTTCACTAATTTAAAGCAATAACATCTAACCTCATCTTCAGTAGCCCATGAAATTTCATCAAAAAGTCCATCATAAATAGGAGGCAAAACCTGAGGCGGCCGCTTCAGCACACGCTGAGAAACCAACAGGCCAACATTCTGCCCTTCCTCTCCCAAAAGCAATCTCAACTCACCAATTACATACTTATCGTGGCACATCTTTAAGAGGAAATCCTTCAGCTGGATAATACATTTATGATCCTGGTAAAAACAAAATTCTTGTTAATCTGCCGTTACAAGTGAAACAAAAGACAGATGAAAATTGGTACATCATAGTCAGTGCAATAACCAGAAGTTACCAATGATCAAAGATTTCATGCCTAGATAAAAAGGAGGGCCACAGCACAAAATTCATTTAGCATCCTCACTTGTCAATACTCCTTAGGGGAGATCCAGGGTAAGACAATCAGGATCTATGGGAAGATTCTCCACCCTGCTACACTGGTGGGAATTGACATCTGAGATTTCTACAAATAACATTGTGCTATTACATTTATTTCCAAAAGAAAAACATTGAGCTATTACATGTAATGTTGATTGTTTGTAGCTTAGGTA